AATAATATGTGGGGGGGGGTGAAATGTCTTCCCCCCCCCCCCCAAACAAAATCAATAATTTTAAAGAAAATTCTGTATTATATTGGTATATTTATATAAAAATGCACCGCATGGTTCCCTGACCGTACTGAAGGAGGTGGATACACTGGATAAGACTCTGAAATGGCCATTTCAGAGGATCTAGAGATTCAAATTTCAAAAAAATTTTCGCCTTGTGGGCGTGAATAATCTTGACAAATTTCTTACGCCCCTGATGAGAGGACCAGTATTCCAAAAATGGTTGTTCTTTATTTCTTTACTCAGACTCCTATATGATGAACATGTATGTAAAAAACTAGGGAAACTACGATTATAAAGAAATAAAGAACAACCATTTTTGGAATACTGGTCCTCTCATTATTTATACATATTATTTATTTACAATGTCTTACACCAGTACTTGTCCAATTACCTATTTTATACCAAAAAATGTAAAAAAAAATACAAAAAATGTATATACATGCATACAAAAAAATATAGTGCAAGTCCTTTGACTGCAAAAAAATAATCGAACAGTGTCAGGAGGCTGAAAAAATTATCGGGCAAACTGAAAATCTACCCCCCCCCCCCCATCAAAAATCAAATGGTCCGTCCCTTAGCAAAAAGAATATGTGGGGGGAAGTCGAGATTCAGGTTATGTTTTCATGTCAAAAGAAAAAAAGAAAAAAAAAGAAGGAAATATAAATTATTGAAAATAATTATATTATGAATTAATAATTGTATATATTATAATGCTCGAACCACTGCGTATAATAGCCACCAATACACTCAGAGAATTACATCCACTGCCATTCCCAATGCTTGACATTGCAACTGTTAAACATGGTGAAGATGTAATCATTATTGGAGGAAGCAACAAGGATGAGGAGTTGAACACAGTTTTCAAGTACAACCTTAAGAAGTGTGAATGTGAGCAATTGCCAGGAATGAAACACAAAAGAGGAGAATGTGCCGCTGTCATTTCTGGAAACAAAGTGTTTGTGATGGGAGGTTTCAACAATGAGGAAACGAAATAAAATAAAATAAAAGTTGTTTTTTTATTGCTTCACTTTCTTCTTTCAGGCAATGAAGGGAGTATTGTTTCAAATGCAGCATCAAGTCAAAGAAATTTTGAACACACAGAAAGAAATGCTCGAAGCAATCCGAAATCTCACAACCACCGTTAACAAAATGAGCACGGGAAAAGTCAAAGCAGCGCCCACACGTGACCCAAAACCACAAGGGACCATTGTTGTCATTGGTGGAGATAATGGTAGTGTGTACAGCAGATGCCTTAATTCTGTTGAGATGTACTCTCTGGTCAATCAAACATGGAGCAAATTAGCACCAATGCAACAAAAGAGAGCGTCTCCAACCGCACATTTCTACAATGGCCAAGTCATGGTTACTGGGGGACGTTGTGGTGTACGCAGTGCAACTAGGAGTATAGAACACATCGAAATCCCTGGAAAAAATGTGCCAGTCAGAGCTCTCCTAGATGACCTTCTTCCAGCTGAATTGCCATTTAAATGCCATGGTCATAAGACAACCATCCTAAATGATCACCTGTGGCTTGTTGGAGGCTGTGTCGGTAGTAATCCGCCATCATGCTCAAATGCCATTTACATGACGCCTGTTCGCTCCACTGGTACCTTTGTGGTGAAGTGTCGAATGCCAAAACCACTTTCGTTCCACAGTTTGGAAGTAGTTAATGGCAATGAACTTTTAATCATTGGAGGATCAACAACTGGTTACTCACGTGATGCTGTTGAGACAGTTTTGTCTTACAATACAGCCACCAATACACTCAGAGAATTACATCCACTGCCATTCCCAATGCTTGACATTGCAACTGTTAAACATGGTGAAGATGTAATCATTATTGGAGGAAGCAACAAGGATGATGAGGAGTTGAACACAGTTTTCAAGTACAACCTTAAGAAGTGTGAATGTGAGCAATTGCCAGGAATGAAACACAAAAGAGGAGAATGTGCCGCTGTCATTTCTGGAAACAAAGTGTTTGTGATGGGAGGATTCAACAATGAGGAAGGATACTTAAGTTCTGTTGAGTGCTTTGATCTTGAGCATCAAGTTTGGCATGAACTTCCATCCATGAGTGAAGCTAAATTTAAAATAGCTGCAGTTCTAGTGCCTTAATTAAAACCATTAAGGGATTGTCTTTGCTACCCTTATGAAGATAGGGAGTGCACCAGTCTCGTCCCCAGGCTCCAACTCAGACGCGTGGGTTCCGACGCAAGCAGTGAAAGTTCCATTCCTCACGAAACGGCGCAGCAAATCAAATCGCCTAGGGACGAGGCTGGGAATGCACTATAACAATGTCATATTTTGGGCAAACCGGGGAATTTGTCCCAGGCCCCCAGTTAAAGGGGGCCCCAAAATTTGCAAAAGGGGGGCCCCAAAAGGTGTAATTAAAAAAAATATTTGTATATAAGTAATGGTATGAGAGAAATCTTTTAGGCCTTAATCCTACTGGTATTGGTCCGAAAAAATGTGTTTTAGCCGTGATTTTACAAGTTTTAGTCCAGAAAATTTTTTTGAACCTTAATTTTACTGGTGTTTGACTGTTTGTTGGGAAAACATTTTTTGAACCTTTTTTTGGATATGTCAGGGAAAATTTTTTTATTCCCCCCCCCCTCCCCAACGTTTTTGGGAAACAATAGTGGCCCTAAATTAAAAATTAGTCCCGGGCCCCCGAATTTCTCTGTGCGGCTTTGTTTGTACCATATATATATATGATCTAATAAACACCCTGGCCATATTTAAATTTTCATACGTTAACCCATTGAGTTGCATTGCGCCCAATCCAACTTACTTTATTTTTTACTGTCTAACACCAGATGATTTTACTGATCAAGAGGAGAGTGCTGGCGCTCGATGGGTTAATTAGACTACTGTAAAGCTCCGAATATTAAAGCCCACCCGAGTATAAGCCCCACCTATAAGCCCACCATATTCACTAACACTCAGGCCATTCCAAATATAGCCCCCCTTGCAGTGGCAAAGCCAGCTTGACAATTTGGTCATGCTCCCCCATAAATAATGACCAGTCCCTTAGTTATTTTCTTTGAAACACGTGTGTCCATTTAAACCCAATAGATGTTAAAACAAAAAAAAACTCTATTTTTTCTTTATATATCTATAACGTATTGACATTTAGCTGCATTAGTAACATTACAAGCATTTTAGTTTGAGTTTTACTATACAAGGGCACTTTCACCAAACACCACAACCCCCCAATGCCACACCCAGAAAATTCTTGGATAGAAATGTAACCATTTCCTAATATTGGTTGAACAAATGATATATTTATTTTATATGCTTCTGACATTTTATACGACCTTGTCCAGGAATGATACACAACAAAGAGGATATGTATACTTTATATAACATAGCATATTAGGATCGTCTCCAGTGTACTATATAATTGTCTAATTAATTATCTCCATTTCCACATTTATGCATCACTTTAGAACAAACATTGATATCGAAGGAACTAGACTCAGTTCCGAAATATCACATTCTCGAACCGACCTGACCGCGTAGCTCAGTTGGCAGAGCATTGGGCTAGTATTCCAAAGGTCGTAGGTTCGAATCCCACCGTGGCCAGGCATATTTTTCAAGCCTGCCCGGTGTGGATATACACTCAGAGTAACATCACAAGCAAAATATATAACCATTTTAAATAGTCTGTAATGTTTTTGATGTTACTCTGAGTGTATATCCACTCTGGATAGGCTGAAAAGTTAGCCTGACCACACTGGGAATCGAACCAACGGCTTTTGGGATAGTAGTCCAATGCTCTGCCAATTAACTGAGCTATGAGGCCATTGTAATGGCATGTTGAAGAATATATGTACACAATATACTTCAAAGTATATTGTGAAAAATATAATTATTAATGAAGAAATATTAAGTTTCAAAACCCATTCCAAGATTAAAGTGTTTACTGCTGCATACTGGTACTAAAATGCTTGTATAAATCCAAGCCTGAAAATAAGCGGCCGGTCACAGACATTGTTCGGTACGAGAAGGTCATTTTGTTGCCAGACAGATTGTCGGGCAGCATATTAATACAACTATTGGTCAAACGGTCCGGCTACAACCGGCATTAAAAATTTAATTATAATATTTCAAAATATTTGCATTCCGCATTTAAGAATTATTTGTATGTCCAAATTTCATCGCGTATGAATATTAAGACCAACCTTGATATTATAAGGTAAAACTCTTGTTGCTAGTATAAAATTTTTGTACTTTGTTCATTAGATATGGGGCTTCTGTTAGAGAAGGAAAGTACATCACTTTGGTTATAGAGTCCTGTGTAGTTGTGTATCTCATATTAGTTAAATTAAAGTCTCAATCACAAAAACCAGGCTCTATACAGGGTGTATAAAAAAAAACTGAACAGATTTAAAATTGCTCTCAATTTCGCAAAACAGCTATTTGTATCTGTTTTTTTATATATATATAGCTTCTTTGGGTACTTATAATGTAAAATAATGAAAAAAATTTCTCGAACTCAAATTTTGTGAACCAGGGGGGTGTGTCTTTTCCAACAAACTAAAAATGGCTCGCGCACAAAATTTAAAAGCTGCAATCATATTTTGAGTTAACAGATTGAAAATTTGTCGGGATTTTAATTACTGTACAAAATTTCAGACAATTTGGTTTAGTTTAAGCCCCTTAACTATTCACATTCACATTAACTCGGTTCTCGCAAAATATCGTGATTTGTCGGTGGCTCGCAGATCAATTATTTGCCTCTGCCTTCGGCATCGGCAAATAATTGATCTGCTCGCCACCGACAAATCACGATATTTTGCTCAACCTCGTCCAATAATTGATAAATATATAATATTTATTCAATTATGTACTATTTAAAGCACGCGTAGGAGTGTTTTATCACATATAAAACACGACGCGTAGCGGAGTGTTTTATATGTGATAAAACACGACTACAAGTGCTTTAAATAGCTTAAAAAACTACTCATCTTATACGAGTTCATTGGCGAAGTAATTTTTAAAATAAACTTTGTCTAAACCGAGAAAATGAAAGCTAAAGTTTATGTAAATTAACGTGATTTTTTATCACATATAAAACCACGACACGCTTATGATTTTTCTTTGTGTTTTGCTCCTGAATTATTAATGAGTTTTTAAATCTATAAGTAATATTTATTCAGGAAGCTCCACTCACCGAAGTGTTTTTCAGCTATAATATTACATATTTAATTCTATAATAAACGTTGCTAAACGTTGCTCTCCAATTAAACCGGGGTGGGCTCTGTATCTGCCCATCTTTACTAAATATATGGAATTTTTATTCAGAATTTAATTAAGAAATTTTAGCATAGGGAAACATAATTAATCCTTGTTGGAAAGTTCACTATATAAAAAGTTGGCTTCTTGGAGGCCAAATAACTCGAATTTGTCTTTTTATTTTTCCTTCAACCACAAAAAAGTTTGGCCTCTTTTTGGCCATCAGAAAAGACCCTGGTTATAATTCTAGCCAATCAGGACTCATGAAATCAAGCTGCTGGTAGATTGCAGTTTGGCCTTTTTTGGTAAATCCCGGCGACCTATTCTGAGTGAGTGTGATTCCAGCCACGTGATGCATGATTTAGAGTGTATTATCAAGTATATACTCGGGTTACAAGTGTTACACTATGTTTATTTAGGGGTAGGGGTGTGGTTAGGGGTAGGGTTAGTGTGTGTAACACTATATGTAGCACTGTAACAATGTGTAACACTATGTAATACTGTGTAACACTATGTAGCACTGGAACACTATGTAAGAATATATAATATTGTTTAACACTGTGTAACACTTGTAACAGTGTTACAACAGAGTGCCATAATAAAGCCACTCTGAATCGTGCAATGGTATACTTCCGGCTAACGATATTTGGCTCCGGGTATGCGCAAGAGCATAGCATTGAAAATGAAAGTAAAATGGCATGTAGTAAAACATGGACTGGACTCATTAGTAAAACATGGACTGGACCCGATTAGTAAAACATGGACTCTATTAGTAAAACATGGACTCTATTAGTAAAACATGGACTCTATTAGTAAAACATGGACTCGATTAGTAAAACATGGACTCTATTAGTAAAACATGGACTCTATTAGTAAAACATGGACTCGATTAGTAAAACATGGACTCTATTAGTAAAACATGGACTCTGTTAGCAAAACATGGACTCGATTAGTAAAACATGGACTCGATTAGTAAAACATGGACTCGATTAGTAAAACATGGACTCGATTAGTAAAACATGGACTCGATTAGTAAAACATGCCTAAATGTAGTTCCTTGTCTGTTTTTTTTGTAAATTGTAATTTTAATAACATCAACTTTAGTGTACAAGAGATCTCATCGATATTTAACGTAAAGTTTCAAGAAGCATCGGCCATTGTAAGTAAATGTGGAATAAATACCAAATTATTTACTGACAGCTAGGTAATGCTATATAAATATAGATGATTTTTTTATTTTTATGTAAACAGAAACACCTTTGCTATTTAACACGTCCACATCGATTTATCCCAGGAGACTGACGTAATTTGGACGTGGTTGCGTTGTGTACACGATATTCTTTATAAATATATACTCGATAAAAAGATTCTCCGACAATCGGCATGTTTCCTGCAATA